CTTGACATTAATATGGATGTTAAAGTGGAATAAGGTCCACTTTTTTCCTGTAATGTGCCAAAAGGGACTTAGAATACAGTGCATCAGGGGAACAATATTCTTTGAGAGGGTCTAGTTTTCTCCTGCATCAGTTTTGCCTTGACTAAGATTGGTAGCCTTCTGGCTTTAATCTCAATCTGTCTTAGGACATTAAGATATATCAAGTATCATGGAATAATGACATTTAACTGGGCTCATCTTGTCTGATACGGATCCCATACCACCCTCTCTCTCTCTCTCTTCTTCGCACGCGCACGCACACACACACACCCACACCCGCACCCACACACAACACAATACACACACACACACAAACAGTCACTCACAATCTTAAAAATTTAGCACCATTGTTACGTCTTAAGTTGTTCGCAAAAATCATATATATTGACGATGCAAAAGCATAGGGTAGACTTAATTTTGGACCTGACCCTGTGGGTCTGCTCAACTACTCGGACACAGTTCATGCTTGGGCAAACCTAGGTCCTGAAAGGACCTGATCTAGGTACTTACAGCCCGGTGGACCTTCTAGTGTGTTTCTTATTATCCATTTATTGATATATAGGATTTTGTACTGATAAAATGGTCTCTATACGTGTGATGTTGGAGCAAATGTGTAGGTATATTTGGATACTGCATGCCAGGTATTGATTCAAATAAAAAGAAGAAAAGGAAACTCTGCAGCGTATGCTTCAAACTTTTTTTACTTAAGATGTTCCAGGTTCTAGGTTGTAGGCCGGTTTCTGATGTGAAAGGTGGTAGGTAGTCTCTGCGGGGTTGAGCTTAGGGCATGGGCATCTTATCCTCAATACACATGCAAGGAATTTATCATGTGTACTGGGGTTTTTAAGATGCATTCTCTGGTTAGGCTGATCCAGAAAGTAGGCTCCTAATTTTACTGTTAATTTTCATTTTAGCAGTGATATAGATTTCATTAATCATCTCCTTCCCATTTGATGTTATAGTATCTGAATAATTGATTGTAAGGTGATTCTAATATCACTGACGCTTACAAACTGTTTAGCATCTTTGCCATAAAACTATAGAGCATCAGCCGACTTGGCTCGTTTCTCAGTTCAATGTGTAAAGTATTGCATTGTTTGGCTACTAAAATCATTTCTGTGATGGCTTTCAATCAAAGAATGATGCTTCACTTTTGCACAAACTTGATTGAAATCAATTTTGGTTTAATAACCATATGATACTGTCCTTGATGCAGAATATGTTAACAATTTGTCATTTCAACTTGCAATTTGTAGGACTTGCTCAGAAGGTTGCATTCGCTATATGCTATCAAGGCCACTAGCTTATCACAAGGTCCCCTGTCACGTATGCTAAATGAGCATGAAGTTCCTTTAATAGGAGAAGCGAATGCATCAGAAGAATACATTAGATCCATAGAACAGAAAAGCATGCCAAACAGAGAAGATGATCGGAAATTAGCAATTCTGAAGTTGTATGCACAAGGCAAGCCTTGTTTCTGGTTATTTCGGTCAATCAATGTGAGATTTGGCAATTTTCGGTTAGTCCTATCTAATGGGAAGATCTTGCTGGGATGCCTGGTGCTGCTCGCATATTTCATTGTGCGAAGAAAGCGATCTGCGTTGAATAGGTAACTTGTCTTGGCTCTAATGCATATTCGTGGTACCACTTCCTGTTTAAACTTGATGATTTGCTGAGCCATCACAGAACGTATTTATGCATAACTAGCAAGTACCACCTTCTTGTGAAGTTAATGACCGTATATACCTCTGTCCTGCATCAATATCGATTATTATGGATCTTTGCATGTAGTTGTGGTATTGGTGGTCTCCTCTAAGATGAACCTTAGGCAGGGATATATCTCCTTAAAGAATTCTGTGTCATGTTCTGGAATTTAGGTATCATCAGCAGTGGCACGACCCTTAACATTTTTGAATTTATTCTCAAGTTTTACAGGTGTCCTACTGAGGTTATGCAAACATGCTTGTAAATCAATTCACTTCCAATGTGTCAATCAAAAGTAAACCATAGTCAGGTTGGCTTTAGGGTTCTGTATGTGTACTATGGAGTGTATGCTGCTCCATAAACTTATAAGATCTAGAACTATGAAAAGAACTGGCATTAGGTTTCTCAAGAATCAACTGTTTTACTCCAAAATTGCAAGAGCTGAAGTGCAAGGAGTACAATTTAAGTCACCAAGACAGCTTCTTTGGAAAATCAGTGGTAAGGCTGCATACATCAACCCCACCCCATACCCCCCTGTGTGGGGAGCCTTGTGGCGTTGGATGCCCTTTGTCTGCTCGACCAGTCGTCTTTCATTTCTAACTTAGACATATCGACTGACCGTGGTCTCTAAAAATGAACTTCACCCTGCCATTTGTACAAGAAGCCGAACTACAAGGAGGAAATTTTTTTTTTTAAACAGCTGTTAGTGATTGATGATGCAATAGTTAATTGATTAGTCTTAATACTGCAGTTGCAAATGATCTTTAATTTTTTTTCACCGTGTTTACCAACAGCTAGCTGCTGACTAAAACTGTTGTAACTGGGTTTATGTGAGCCACGAATGTTATTTGCATTCTTTTGGTGGAATCAGTTGCATGTTCTAAACCACTTAAGTTTGTAAAGAAGTTTGGCGGGATAAGACACATATTCTGATTTTGGTAGAGAGAGAGAGAGAGAGAGGCCTCCAATGATTATATTGAACCGCTTGTTAGGGAAGTGTTTTTTGAGACAAACTATTCGTGATTCTAATGTTTTGTCAGATTCTCTCGCATTTCAGGTATGTCAAGAGACAGGCTTTGGCACTGAAGAATGCTTTGGTAGATTTTTGGCAGCTTGCATTTTCTTACCAAGTGAACCCCTTAGCGGCTGTTCAACCCCCTGCTTCCATGCCCGCCCGGCCCTAGGAAGTGTTACCCTGGACTGACTGGAGGCTATCTGAATCAAGGAGGTGGTCTCTATATTACCAGGATGCTTTCCCCTTCCCTGGGAGACTAATGTATGTGGCAACGCTAATGCAAAGAGATTTCACGCCTCCTTTTCGACAAATTTACTCTTTAGACAATTACAGCAGATGTCGTTTAGATAGAGAATTGTTGCCTCTCCTTGTACTTCTTCTTTGTCTGTGGGTCGATTCTAGCCAGAAAAGAAAAGGATACTATAAATTGCGAGAAACATAACTAGGCTTATTGTACGTTATACGTATGTCGTTAAGATACCTTCAGAGTACCGAGCACCAAAATATTGATTAGAAGAACAATAAAAAAACCCGCTGTACTGTAATCTTGATATCTTAAAGGGAAATTTTCAAATAAAGGCTTGAAGAGAAAAGCCTGAGTTGCAAATTAATAACTGTGAGTGCTCAACAAAGAAGTAGAAGCATTTCAGGAAGATTAAATCCAAATCTTTCAAAAGAAAGGGATACACTTTTCTCTGCAAATCGAAGTTTCCAAAAAGAAAGAAAAAAGAAAACATATGCTTTATTTGCGGACGAAAGGTGTCCCAAGGCAGATAAGAAAATTAAGCATATTAAGATGACCAAGAAGCTTGAAAAAAATAGGTATTTTTCTTGATAATGAAGATATCGAATCCGTTTTTTCTCTTGAAGATGAACAATTAGAGAATCCCATCTGTGCTACTGAAACTTTTGATAGCGATGAAACATCCAGTGACATTGATAGTATATATTTTCTAAGTACAAAACTTTCTCCAAAACCAACAGACCCACCAATTGAAACAACCCTAGCAATCCAAATTCTGAAACCCTTGAAACCTTTGAAAGTTTCAAAATCATCTCGTCTCATAATCCAAATCTACCCACATACATCATACCTACTAAGTAGGATATGCCTATTCATGTATCACACTTATTGATACTAGAGCCAGTGCATCCATCTTTAATCCTAAAATTCTTCCCGATGAATTTTGGGAACCACATATTAGACATTTCCAGGTTGCATTTGGAACAAGAGTCTCTACAAAAGGAGCAAACTCATAAAAATATATTTTTTCCCTAAATGCTCCATTATTATTATTTCATAGTTGGATGAGTTATTCCCAACCAACTTCCTGCTCTCCATATACTTCCGAATAGTTTACACTTTAAAGATCAGTTCAAGGAGTTTGTCAACATCAAAAGGATGTATTTTTACAGCCAGCCCAAGTGGAACCAATTTTAAAGCAGTTACTGAGTTTATGTGCAAAATGATAAGTTTCCTCTACCAAATAAAAAAGCCTTATTTTTATGCGTAACGAATGCAAAGATCTATTCCAAGTTCAATCTCAAAGTAGAATTTTTGCAGCTTGGAATCCATCTAGAAGATCGCCAAACATGGTTATGTATTCCTAATCAGCATTACTAATGGAAGTTTGTTAATCTTCTCAAGCAGTAAGGAATAATGCTTTCCCAAAAGAAGATAGTAATAGCTCAAAAATAAATTGAGTTCCTTGGAATGTATTTTAAGGATGGTTTTTACCATCTAGGGAAGCATATTGCCAAAGAATCGCTGAAATTTTCTCATGAAAATCTTTACCGCAAGCAAGTACATCAATTCCTTAGAATTGTTAATTACTTAAGATATTTTGTGCCAAAGATTTTAAAGCTCACGCATTCACTGCTAAATATGCTCAAAAATAGAATCTACCCACTCAGGAACCGCTCACCCCTAATCAAAAGATTGGTGAGAGGTGCTTTGGGAAACATTTCCAAGGCAATTACTTCGAGTGAGAATAAACTTTTCTCAATTAAACAATCATATGTCGCAAGTATGTACGTAAAACAAATCGTGGGAAAAAAAATTCACAGATTCTATACACAATGATTTCTAATCAATTAATTGACACTTCTTCACATCATTAAACGGTACGAGCTATGGGACCATTTCAGCTTCTAATTTTTACTTTCATGGGAATATATTGTTTAGAATTATGGCATAGTTCGTACTAAAGCCTGAGGACAGTCTCACGCTTAAACTCTGTGATGTTGGTGAAGAAGCTGTTTTGTTGCAGTTGTCAATTCTCAGAGTCTCATTTAGGGTCGTAATACAGTTGAGTGTTCTGGAATCATCTTTATTTTTTGTAAATCACTTTCTTTGTATGCAAGAAACATGAATAGACTATTCTTTGGAGTTTGTTATTATTTCGCCATTGGCCTGTGCTGATCTTGATATGAAAAGTCTACTATTGATGAAAGACTCCGTTGAGCTTGCTTGATTACCAAACTAAGATTTGCTTGGCGACTGAGTGATGCTGCCCGCCATTTGTAAGGAAATGCACGGCTGGTCGATGGGTACCTGCAGAAGAACGGCAACAACCAAGCTGAAAAACTACAGATATCTTCTTGCAGGTTCAGCATGTTGTGTTTTCAAATTTCCCTATTCTGAGTTCTAAGTATCAAACTGTTTAGGTTGGGGAATGGAGTTTTTGGACTATGAGAGCAAAAGGAAAGTGTGCTGGCTTATGGAGAACATCCAATTACTATGCCAAAGTACGTATTTTGTGTGGAGCTCAATGTACATTTCATTCTTGCTCGATTTAGCAGCATTTCGTTTCCCAATCACAACGTCGTCGAAAATGGGAACGACCTTATTTGGTGAAATGATTTCGATTGTTTTCTGTTTTCATGGAGCAGTAAGAAATCATTTAGAAAGATATTATAGTTTCCTTGTTTTACAAAATTTCAACAAGATAAAAGCAATTATTATGGTGAAGTGTTATTTTCACTGTTTTGAACTGTATTAAGAGTTCGACCGAAAAAAAAAGAACCGTATTAAGAGAAATATGACGAAGGGTACATTAGAATTCCATAACTTGAAAACCCTGAATCCTACTGGTTTTCAGAGATGTGAAAAATTGAAAGAGAGAATATCATCTTTAGAAATTTCTTAGTGAGAACAGGAATTTAGAAATATTATCTGGAATCGAATGCATCTATCCTTTCGTAGTTTGAAATAATGATTCATAGCTTCAAGTAATTTTCACAATCCGATAACAATTCCACTAGAGAGATTTGATTGTAGATGACTCACCATGTGTCCAGCACCAAGAATCCAGTAAAAAAAGAGGTTCCTGTAGGATCTCACGAATCCTTTTGTCCCCGTAGAACCTTTTCCACAGTATAGAGGAACACGGTCCTCACTCAGGAAATTGCTCAGACCGTCCCACCTGCATATTACAAGGCAAGGCAAATTTGAGGGGCCCTTTTCGAAATTGAAAGTCAATGTCTAAGGATGTGTTGTGTTAAAAGGGTGCCATTACTTGAGCTTGTTGAGCCATGCTTCTACTCCTTTTGTTGCACAAATAAGATCCAGCTGCAGTATTAGGAAGTTGTCCAAATGAGATTATGTGGAGGCACAATCAGTCAGAGAGGAGACTGCATGAAGTGCAGCGGGAAGTTCATGGAGAAATCCTGACCTGTCCATTGTAAATGGTGACGTTTACGCCTTCGGCTAAAAGCTTGTCTACCTGAGATAATTTCACGAGACTTCATAATCTTGTGGTGGCAGACAATTAGAAACTAAAATTGAGTTATCTTCTTGTTTACGTCTAGAAGGTGGCTTTCACTGTCACACTAAATTAGTGTTTACCTCTTCGATTCTTGGTTTCATGAAGTCTCCATCCAAGGCTGGGAAAACCAAGCCACCCTGTCCTTGCCATCTATAAAACGATGAAGTTTGATTGACCCATCACAAGGGGAAAAATCAACATATTTTTAATGTGGAATCTGGATCAACTAGGATAGAAATACAGCATTGGGTCTAGCTGCAAGTACAGTTAAATCTGTTAGAACATTTCTGGTCTTCTGGAACTTACGTCACATTATCCGGGATGATCTTTAGCTTTTTTCTTATTGGCCCATTCATCAAGCTTCCTAAGCCACTGTTGGCTGCACCTGCACCAGTTGAGGTTCTCTCCATGTATCTATTTGACCTAATTCTACTCTCTTTCACCGCCACTGAATTGCTCTCATCATCTAACATGAAGTTGTAAAAGTCCTGCAGGTCGTGCAACTCTCAGAAACTCCCTCAACACTGAAAGTTCAAACCATTTTCTTGCGGTATGACAGTGAGCAAACAATAGAGATATATACCACATCATTACTGTATTGTGCGATGACCTGCTCCAGGTCGGACCATGTTCCAGTGGCATCTTCTGATTTACCTTCTGCAAGTTGCCGCTGGATCTTCAGGGCTAAACTGGATACCACAATAGTTCACTTCATGTTATGCTTGTCTGTCTAGCTTTTTTCTTAGTAAGGACTTAGAAGGAGATATATGACTTAAACCTGTTTGATTGATTCAAGCCGTTCTCGTCAATTCTTGACATGACTTTAAGAACAGGTCCCCATGAGAACTTCAATTTAGTGCAGATACCACAGTGAGTCACCAAGCAGAAATGACTATCTTCATGATGCAAAACAAACAAATTTCTCAATGGCTGAAATCACATACCACAAAGTCCTCAGGAGAGATCCAGCTATCCCCCAAAGCAACTCCTGTATTTGGACATTATGAAAAAGCATCAGAAATAGCGGTTTTCTACTTGTAGAGTGTCAAAAGTCGCGACAGAGCGTGACTACTTCAAACGAGTTCCACAAAGTAGTTGGGAAAAAATAAATTTCTACCCCCAAGCTGGGCCTTCAGTTTTCCAGCTTCAATAGCTTCAAGAGCTGTTACTCCAAGGGCAGAAGCAAATTTGCCTCCATATGATTCTGCAAAGATGTACAGAGGACTCTTTTGGAGGGTCTCATTCCCACTGAAGAGCTCTATCAGCAAGGTGGTCAGATCAGCTGCTGCTTCATAGTCTGTTCTCACTACTAAGCTCTCATCCTCCACATAACTGAAACCTGTTGCCACTGGACTGTCCTGTGTCCACAGAGGATTACAAGTTACACTAAAAAGCAAGGGTGCCTTATAAATGCCAATATTTAGAAGGCATTCTTCAGAATGATTGTTTGAAACTGAAGAGAAACTGCTATGTACCACAAATAATAGATCTGCTTTTTGAAGCCATGTGAAATTCCGGGGCTGCAAATTCTCATCCAGTGGTCCGATTTCCCCGAAGTTTCCAAATCCAACACTGGAGCCTCCCTAGGAAATTGAAGGAGAGAGACGATAAGAAAAACACTGATTTTCATTCTTTTGGGTGTAATTTCAATGGTAAATTTCTCACAGGGCCTCCTTGGTGCCACAGCAGTACTGGCCATGGTTTGGAAGGGTCTTCAACTCTATATGGACTTCTGTAGAGCCACCAGAAGAGGTGAGCCCCTACAACCCAATAAAACATCAGTTTATTCCTTCAATGTAGAATGGCTCAAATCAATATACATATGCATAGCGATCATTTATTTGAACACGGCGATTTATTGCCACCAACTGAACAATTTGGACACTAAAACTAGATACCTGGTCGAACTTCCACATATCCCCACTGCTCAGACCCGTCCCTTGTTCCTTCGGCTGAGGCAAAACGGGGATGTCCAAATAAGAACAAAAGGAGAAGAAAAAGGAAAAGCAAATGTTTCTCCATTACCACCATATTTCTTATTTGTTGCAGATTGAATAAGCTGGAGGGTCTGTTATACGGGGGGCACGTCCGTGATTTTGCCATAAGATATTTCGCCAGTGGTTGTCTCCGACTCGTTGGACGAGGGCAACGTGAGAAACAAGAACAGACGAAGACTTCAAGAAACTATGTTGCCTTTGTCATTTAGTTAAAGCTACAATGACTCTGTCCAAAGCGAGCTTTTGTCCTCATTGGGTTGTGATTAGATTGATGGGGACAACGGGAAACAAGTGCCAGCAAAGCAACGAGCATTGTTTAGAATCTGGAATGGAAATCTTCCAATCAAGTTCGAACGAGAACAAAACAAACTAGCCAGGAGTTATTGGATCTGTTGACTTCAAGAACTCCGTCGAATCTCAACCCGAACAAGGGGAAGAAATTGGTTTACGATTCTTGTTTTTTTGACGAGACAACATCAGTCGTCAATTCTGTCAACTCTCTCTCTCTCTCGCTCTCACGTTGGATTGTGATTGGATCGATTGGGACAAAGGGAAAGAAGTGCGAGCAAAGCAACATTATTTAGAATCTGGAATGGAAGTTCTCCAATCAGGCACCAACGAGAGCAACACAACTTGTTGGAGCTAACAATACAATTTAATGGAGTGAATAGCTTGCTTCACGAACTTTGTACTTTTTGCGGAAAAATAGTGAGTACGAAGTAAATATCAGGTCAAGGTGATTTTTTAGAAATTGTGAGCTAATTGTGTGTTCAAGCATTTAAAATAGAGCGAAACAACATCACACAAAGATATATAGTGGTTTAGTTTTATCCACAAGACTACATCCGCTCTCACCACTAACAGTCACAAGTTTGATTAGAATACACTAGTAATGTGCTGAACAAGTTACAACCAGCACACACCAATACTTTCAGAAAATATATTACACTATTAGAAATTAGGTGTTGCTATTACTCAATACACTTAATCTTTGAGCACAATTACAAGTAGCAAGGATCACAGACAAGGAAGAGCTTTTTGCTTAGAACGCAACTTGTAACAGATTTCTGGGTTTTGTGTATTACTCGTCTCTCTAACTTATTGGCATTTAAAGATATTCTCTTTTATAGGCAACTTCAAACAATCCGTTGGAGATGTCTTGGAGAAGCAAAGTAGCTGTTTGAATTTCATTGAAGATACTGTCTGAAGATGAGACTGCCCATATAGTCTATCCCCAGCCTTTGCAGGCTACCCGAAATAGCTTCTGCTATTGTCCTGTCACTGCGGCTTTGACATACTGTCAAACGACCTGTTCTTAGATCTTTCTTTGCTCTTGCTTATGTGTGTCTAGCTAACAACGGTTATAATGATGAACCCACTGTCATATTAAATGATCTGTTGCTATAACAGTATGATCTTCCTAATCTACTTAGCTTAAGATAAATATTGTCTTGTAGCTCATCTTTGTAGATCCATTGGTGCTATTTTGACCGACAAAACAGATTCATGGTCCCATCACTTTAGTTCTGTAAACATTATCAGGAACATCTGCAATTATCAATGTAAAACATTATACTAAGGATGGTTTTGGGATCATCAAGATTTCCTTGAGATGTTTCTCCAACAATCTCCCCCTTTTTGATAATAACAAAACTATCATGCAGATGTGAATAGTAATTTTGATAGGGTTGTAGTAGAACGTAAAAATCTACTTGTGTGAAGATGTGTTAGTGATAAATACACATTTGCAGATTATCTCCATAAGATTTTGAGAGAATGAAATGAGATGATGTGAAATATCACAGATTTTCTAGATATGATGTCTTTGTAAAGATGACGAATAATGTAATAAGGATTCATCATAAAATAGGCTTTGAGAGACAACATGTTATCTAAGGATGTTAGTACAATAAAACAGCACATTGCTCCCCCTATTTCGATGCTATGAAGATCTAAACTCATTTATACACATCATCTATACACATCAAGGTTATCTCCCCTTTTTTGTTATCAACAAAAGAGAAAATGCAAGTAAAGAGTAATGGAAATAAACATCTTGCATTCACCAAAATATGGAAGGGGTACATAGAACGAGTAGCAATGTTAGCAAAAGAAAAACATAAGCAACAAAAAATAAAAATTAGGTGTGAGCGCGTTCTCTTTGCAAGGATGTGGCAGGAGGGTGAAGTTCAGATTCTTTAGGTTCAGGACGAACATGATTGTAGCAATTTAGGTTCAGCAGTGTCTGTTCAATCTTCACCAGATATCGGGTGAGAGAGGACTGAGTGTTCTTGATCTCTTGAACATTGTCCTGAAGCTTGGCAAATACAACAATAGGAACACCAGATGTATCGGTTGGAGATGGAGATCTCTCAGTTCTTGGTTTACGAGTGGGGTGCCACTGTATGGGTGCCTTTGCTTTCTTCTTCTTCTCCGACTCAACTTGTGTTGCCAGTTTTGCTTGTAGAATGGTTTGAGCTTTTTCATCATCTCCCTATCCTATGAGAATTATTTCATTATTCTGATTTACCTTTCCATCGGGTGTCATTCTTAGCATCATTTTGTCTATGGTGTTTTTCCCGATCTCCACAAGGGGTGAGTTTTTGGGAGCAACATGATAGAAGTCAATGTTGAGTGATGAGGGCTCCATAAGGCAGCTTCCCCGTTTTTCTCTTAGCAGTGCAAAACACGTGGATGAAGATCATGTATGCTAGGGAAAAATCCTTAGATTTGGTTAGAATGGCCCATATGACTCTTGTCTCATAATTAGATTTGTCATTTGTCGAAGATGATTTGGGACGTAGGCAGAGGGTCAAAATCTTTTGGAAGAAATTTGCTTTGAGAGGCAGCAGGTTTAGGGGGGCGATTTCTCTGGAACTTCGAGTAAAGTTTGGAGTTTTCAAGATGAAACTGTAAGCCTCATCAGGAAGCTTTTTGAAAACATTGTACTCAGTTTTGATGATATTAGCCAAAACATCCATAGTCATGGGGTAATTTGTCTTGGCAAAAGAGAAGGTGAATGAGTCCTGTTTGGAAAATGAAAGTTTGAATAAAACATTGACGCAAAAATAGGATGGACTTCATCTTTCATGGAGTAGAAAATTTTGATTTTGAGGTCTTCAAAAATTTCATTTAAAAAGATGCCATGAGCATTGAGATACTCAAAATTCATGACAAAGGGAATTGGACCACGTTCTTGGCTTAAGTAAATTAAGTTCAGAATCAAAAGATGGATCGAGATCAAAACTTTCAGTGGGTTCAAAGTTTTGGAATACCTAGTAGTCAACGTCCTATGATGTTTTAACCAAAACATTGGCTATACTTTTTTAAAGAAAAGAAATTAATCAATTCGCCTATACAATTATATATATATACACAGTTCGACAACTTAAAAAACGGACTATGCGATTTGATGTTCACAATTTGAGCCGTAATCGGTAAAATACTTCGATTGGACGATCGAGAGGCACGAGCACTTACCGGGTATTGAAATACGAAGTAACTCCGGTTTAGCGAGACTCCTGTGGTGTGTAGCGTGAAACCCCTCTACCCTTTTTCCTTTTCTACTTCCTCTTTCTCTCTTTTTCTTTCCTCTCTTCTCTCCCCTGCTCTGCGCGAACTCTCGGTTAAAAAGAAAGGAGCCAAGCGTCCCACTGTTGCTGCTTTTTGACTTTTCAACCTTTTGCTTTTCCTTTTTTTTTTATTGGTAAAAAAAATCCAAATATTACAATTTGTGAAGCTAGTCTTAAACTATGACAACTTTGTGTACATATAAGCAGTAATTGAGCTACGAAACTTTCAGCATTGTGCTATGCCACACAAGTAAAGATTAGGATACAACCATTCATGGCACTTGAATTCGCAACGAAAATCCCAGACCAAAAAGGAAAAATATTACTCGCAAATGGAATTATTTTACTTGTGAATCTATAGAGGTAAACAGTACCATCATCTGGGGAAGAAAGAAAGAAAGAAAAGAATGGGAGGAGGAAGGCGATACAGTTCGTTCAGCGAGGAAGATTTGCATCACCCCCGCGACTACTACTCAGCTGCGAGAATGACCTGAGCAACCTCGACGACAAGCTATCCAACTGCCTCGCAGACCTCTCTCCCAACGACCTGCTGTTACTCAACACCACGCCTTTCCCCGGTAACGACGACGTCAGATCATCATTAGACGATGAACCGCAAGCATCCCCTCTCTCCTCTTCCACGTTTATGATGATGTCACGAGATAGGGTCAAGTCCAGAGGTGACCTCGTCAATACGTTGAGTGACACACAACGTTGGAGCAAGCCGCTCGATGGCGGTGGCCCATCTGAAGCCCCGTTGTCACCTCTGCCGCTGTTGGAGGCTGCAGTCATGGCCAAGTGATCATCTGCCATCCCTGCAGGCGGGGCGACCACAGGAGATCGACAGACGGGGCAGTTGTTATGCGCTGAGAACCACTGGTCGATACATGGGACGTGGAATGCGTGGCGGCAGGCAGGCAACAAGCGCACAGTCTCGCAGTCCTCCAGTTCGCCTAAGCACACGGCACACTCACTCTGGTCGACACGGAAGACCCGGTTCCCCTTGGAGGAGTAGGAGAGGACTGGAATGGCTCTGAGGACCTTCTCCTCGACACCGTCGGTTCTGGCTCCGGCGTTCTGTCGTTCCCTGGGCAGATTATCGGCTGTGAGCCGCCGCCGGACGCAAAAGCGGACAAAGAGGACTTGGTAGGCGACAATGGCAAACGAGGTGGCGACAATGTCGGTCATGGAGAGAAGGAGGGGAGTGACGAAAGATCCTGACGAGTTTGGGATTGAGGAAGATGAGGTGTCGTCCATTGCTGTTCGTTTGATTTTGATTGAGAGGCTTTTGGGGTTGTTTTGCTCGCTGAACGGACGTCGCTCTCTTATGATTGATTATATTGATGGTTTTTAGCGAAAGCTTTGAGGACGGAGTCGATGCTTTCATGAAAGCTTCGAGATCGGTGTTTGACTTGTGGCTGATGATGGTCGGCTGTGCCCGTGACGATGTAAACAAGTGATGATTCTTGATTTGTTCACTTCCCTGGATTGAAGAACCCATTAACCGCACGTCAAGAATTTGTGAAATTACGCAGTGTGTCCACAAACACCACAAAATTAAATTTGCGTACCCTTATAGCCATCATATTATCCGTAAGATTATTTGAATTAACATCTTCCCTATCTAGAATATAAATTATATATTTCAATTAAACATATTAAAATGAACAGTGCATTACATAATTTGAATAGATGAAATTTGATTTTTCCTATTTATATCTATCTTCCTTTCCTTACTCCTCTCAGTGTTCTCTCAATTCAAATGCTTCCACAAAAATACGTGACATGGGAATGATCCTAATCCCAATTCGACCAAAGAAATGTCATGCTATGATATTTCTTTTTGGCCGTCCGATGCCCGTTGGATTTGATGAATATTAGACAAGACTTTGTACGATTTTGGGTTTATGGCCCACCTCCAGTGTCACTTCTGATAAGAAAGAAAGATTAAAAGAGAATGGTATTTATTCTCTTATAATGGTGTAGGAAACAATGTACATGAGAAGCCTTTATATAGGCTTAGAGGAGTAAATGAGCCTAGCATTCTTCCTATGTGGGACCAAAGAGAAAGAAGAGATGTAAAGGAAAACCTACAAAACTATACAACATGTTCTAACACCCCCCTCAAACTCAAGGTGGATCAAATAACGAGAGTTTGGAAAGAAGAAATTTAAATCGTTGTGATGTAAGAGCCTTCGTAAAACAATCGGCAAGTTGATTCTCAGTTCCAACAAAAGGAAGTGAAATAGTGTGAGCTTGGAGATGATGACGAGTCAGATGACAATCGATCTCAATATGTTTGGTACGCTCATGAAAGACCAGATTTGCACCGATATGAATGGCACTCTTGTTGTCACAATGCAGAGGAGTAGGATCCAGAAGTGAAACTCCCATATCAGCAAGTAAGCGGCGAAGCCAAACAATCTCAACAATAGTGTCGGCCATAGCACGATACTCGGACTCTGTAGAGGAGCATGAGATAATATGTTGTTTCTTGGAACGCCAAGAAATAAGTGAATCGCCAAGAAAAATGCAATAACCAGTGATAGATTTGCGATCAGTGACATTGGAAGCCCAATCAGCGACATTGGAAGCCCAATCAGCATCAGAATAGGCACGTAGCTTGAGAGCAGAAGAGGATAGTAGAAATAAGGAATGCGATAAAGTGCCTCGAAGATAGCGCAGAATCCTTAGAACAGCCGCATAATGAGTTGTTCGAGGAGCAGCAACAAACTGACTGACAACATGAACATCATAGGCGATGTCGGGTCGGGAGATAGTAAGATAAATAAGACTGCCAATCAAGGTCCGATAGCGGGTGACATCAGAAAGAGGTTCTCCATCGTCTGGGCAAAACTTTTGATTTAGCTCAATAGGAGTGGCAGCAGTACGTGAATCTGATAGAGCAGCCCTAGACAGAATATCAGCGGTATATTTCTACTGAGAAATGAGAATATCGCGTGAACTTCGAAGCAATCTCAAGCCCAAGAAAATAGCGCAGTGGTCCTAGATCCTTCATGGCAAAATGTTGCTGAAGGTGTCGCTTGGTATGCTCAATATGGTCACGATCATCTCCAGTGATGACCATATCATCAACATAAAGAAGAAGAATAGTGCAGCCTGAAGAAGAGGTATGAACAAACATAGCATAATCAGCCTCACTTTGAATGAAACCAAGCAGACCGAATAGCATCACCGAACTTCTCAAACCAAGCACGAGGGCCCGTTTGAGACCATAAAGAGCCCGTCGCAGCAAGAAACCCCGTCCCGAGGTATGAGCAAGACCAAAGCGGAGGTTGCATAAAGATATCTTCCTGAAGATCACCGTGAAGAAAAGCATTCTTCACATCAAGCTGAAAGAGAGGCCAACTGCGAATTGAAGCAACAGCTAATAAAGCACGGACAGATGTCATCTTTGCTACGGGAGCAAAGGTCTCCTCATAGTCGATACCATACTCTTGCGAGAAACCTCGAGCAACCAGACGAGCTTTGTAACGCTCAATACTGCCATCAGAACGAGTCTTAATCTTATATATCCATCGGCAAGATACGAGGGAGCGACCTGGAGGAAGAGGCACAAGCTCCCAAGTACCAGTACTCCCCAAAGCCGATGGTTCCTCAGACATAGCCTGGCGCCATTCTACATGCTGAACTGCCTCACGATAACTATTAGGTTCTTGTATAGCATGAACAGCAGCTAAAAAGGATCCAAACTCAGTAGAATAAGAAGTAGCAGCAACATACCGGGCAGGTGGACGCCGATCTCGAGGAGGATTACGGGCGTGGCTCTAGTTGTGCAGAATCGTCGAGGGCAGATACAGCACGAGGTGCAACACAAGGGATATGTGAAGATGGAGAAGGTGGCAATATATCTAGATCCGATATAGAAGAGGGACTAGAAGGATCAGGTAGAGGATCAACAGGAAAATCCATAAATGGAACAGGAGACGAAACATGAGGTGTAGTGTTTGTTGAAAAGAAAGGGATGTGTTCATGAAACGTAACATCACGAGAAATACGTACACGTTGCCCATTTGGGTCATAACAACGATAACCTTTGTGCTCAGTGCTGTAACCCAAGAATGCACATGGGATAGAGCGGGCGGTAAGCTTTGTACGTTCAGTGAGTGGAAGAATGACAAAACAAGTACATCCAAAAACTCGAAGATAATTATAGCTAGGAGGTCGAGAGTAGAGATGTTGAAACGGGGTGTCTTGATGGAGAACAGATGAGGGTAGGCGATTAATTAGATGAACAGCTGTGAGAAGAGCCTCAGCCCAGAACTCAGTGGGAACGGATGTGCCAAGTAAGAGAGCTCGAGTGGTCTCTAGAATATGACGGTTCTTGCGTTCAGCAACTCCATTTTGAGTTGGAACCCTAGGACAAGATAACTGAGGAAGTGTACCATCACTAGCTAAGAGGGAACGAAAGACACCAGAGAGATATTCTCCCCCTGAATCTGAACGGAAAACTTTGATTTTTGTATTAAATTGTGTGGAAACCATGGAAGTAAAAGACTGATAGATGGTAAAGAAATCACTACGTTGACGCATAAGATAGACCCATGTATAACGAGAATAATCATCAATAAAAGATACATAATATTTGAAACCACTCTTGGAAGAGAGCGGGGTAGGACCCCAAACATCAGAATAAACAAGATCGAAGATCGCACTAGTTCTAGAGTTACTAACAGGAAAAGGCTTAGCAGATTGCTTGGCCAAAGGGCAGATAGAACATGGAGGAAGACTACCAAAAGAAATAGGACCCAAAGCACCTTGTTGGTGAAGGACGGTGAGACGAGAAGACGGAATATGTCCAAGACGCTGATGCCACCGAACAAGATCGAGGGTAGCCAACACAGGATGAGGAAGAGAGGAAGTTGGAAGATGGAGATGTTGCATAATATAAAGTCCATCCCGTCTACTGCCCCTGCCAATCATCTTGCCACTCAAACGATCCTGCACAAAGCAAGAGCTATTTGTAAAGCTTACAGTACATCCAGCATCGGTGAGTTGTCCAACAGATAATAAATTGAGAGCAAAAGAGGGAACATGTAACACATCAGGGACATTGAAATCTTCAGAGACGGTAAGAGTACCCTGTCGGGTAGCTAGTAGAGGAGAACCATTAGCAGTAAAGAAATGTGCTGGTTGCTTGAGCTCAGAGAGCTTAGTGAGAAAAACAGTGGAAGTAGACATATCTCTAGCAGCTCCTGAGTCAAGTACCCAAGTAGTAGAAATATCACCTGAAGGTGGAGTAGCTGCAGCGGTGCTTCTAGCATATGAGAGAGTTGTAGAAGTACCAGAATCGGGAAAAGACCTGGGCAGAGAACGACTCAAACGGGCAAGTTGGGCCTCAAGAGCAGCAATACGGTCATCCGTAGAGGGAGAAACCAGAGTAATAGGTTGAGAGATTGGAGATGCGGTAGTGGCTCGTGGTGATGCAGAAAGGCGTGAAGCATTCCTCTTCTTCCAACAATGTGACTCGTCATGACCAGGACGATGACAATACGTACATGAAAGGCGGCGAGGACCACGAGTAGGCGAAGGACGTGGTGGAGCAGCCAAAACTGTAGGCGAAACACGTGGTGGAGCAGCCAAAATAGCAGTTGAATCAGAAACTGTCGAGGAGGAAAGAAAACCAAGACGAGTTTCCTCAGACTGTAATTCTTTGACAGCGTCAAGGAGGGATGGTCTTGGAGAGCGGTGAAGAAGTTGGCTGCGAACACCTTCATAGGGAGAGCCGAGCTTCATAAGAAAAGAATGTAGACGGTGCCTATCTTGAGTCTGAAGTCGAGTAGATGGACACCGAGTACAGTTCAGGCATGATGGGCAGAGAATAGGAACAAGAATATCTAGTTGACTCCAAAGTGAGTGCATGTAATTGTAGAAATCTCGAATAGAGCGAGACCCTTGCATAGCACTGTAAACTTCTTGCTCCAACTGATAAACTCGAATGTCCCCTGTCTGGGTGAACATCTCGGCAAGCTGATCCCATAAACTTTTCGCCTCAACAACATTAGAAAATTGTGGGCGAAGAGCAGGATCAATGGAACCAAAAATGATAGCCCATGCCTTCCGATCAGCAACATTCCATGCTCGAATTTCAGCGGCACGTTTCGCAACTTCATCAGATGATTCACTTTTAAGAGCACCAGGACAAGGACAAAGTCCCTCAACATGCTCAAACAAGTCGCGATAAACAAGTGCTGCCATTGCCGATGGTTTCCAAAGAGAATAGTTTGAACCATCGAGTTTGACGTTAATACGGTCACTAGAATCAC